GCAAGCCTCTTGAATGTGGGGCAGTAGAGGTAAGTCGTGGAGGTCACACAGTTTGTTGACTGCCGGGTTCTTTCTTCCATGGCAGTGACATTCATCATGCGGTAGTGTAAAAACTCCCAGCCTCTGTCTCAGGCAGGACAGTGGCAGCTGGTACTGGGCTGCTCAGGAAACAAGAGCCTACTGGGTTCCATGGGGACTTGAGTGGTGCCTCTGTCCAGACTCCAAGCAGCTCCCTAAATCTGTTTGGAGACCAGTTGATCAAGGAAGCTCTTCTTTGACTAGGGTTGCTAAGGTCCATGAATAAGGCATGGAACCCTGGGAGTTCTCTCACTCACTCAGCTCTTCCCTGTGTGAGGAATCCTTTTCTGGTTCCATGCCACAGCTGGCTGCTCAGCTTCGCTTTCCTTTGTTCTCTATGGTTTCTGTCACTTCTCTGGTGAACTTCAGCATGCTTCCCTTGATGATCCAACCAGAGAGCTAGTGTTTACTTGTTGTTTCCGTCCCTTTGTGAGAGAGGTGCCTCCTAGCTGCTTCTAGTCAGTCACTTTGATCAAGGTGTTGCTTTGTAGTTACTAGTGTATTCCCTGCAACAACTCAATGAAGCACGTTCTGCAGTCGTTCCTGCATGAAGGAAATTAGTTATTGAGACACAGGGCCCTATAAAAAAAATAAAACAACAAGCAGTTGAACTGAAATCCATACCAGTCTGATATACCACAGATAACGCAGGCTGTTTCTCAGATGTTCCTGATCAGTTTCTACTTTTCATTTACTTGTCTCCTTATACAAATGCAAGTTTAAATAGTAATCCTGAGAATCTTCATTTTACCAGGTCACAGACTGTGTCTCTTGAATTTGGACTGTAAGTTTCCACACAAGAACCATCTCCCCTTGTTCTGCATAAAAAAATGCTTTATGCCACCAAGGAAATGCCAGTTCTTTTTGATATTTATCCTATCTACCCTATGAGAAAGGATCATGAGAGTATACAAAACTTGCAAAAGCTCTGAGCATTATCTGATATTAAGATCTTTCAATATAGTTTCAATTATAAAAAATTAGAGCAAGTACAAGGCTCTATGGAAGACAGAGCAAGTTTCTACTATTGGCCATGATAATATTCTGAGTTATGTGGTTTTACATCTTCCCAGGATTACTTGTAATATAGCACCTGAGATTTCAACTTAAATCTTAACTAGTCCCATCATTCCCTTGATAGTGTGGTGCCAGAGATAAAAGTTTGCAATCAGAAAGACATGGTGTGAGTCCTAGCTCTATTACTTAAAAGTTATGTGAACTCAGAGAAATTTCAACTTCCTGGACTGGTCACTGCATAAAAAGAAAAAAAAAAAAAGACAGTAGGCAAAAACAAACAAAAAAACCCCTTCAAATACTAGTAAAAAGGTGAACAGTAACCTCTGATAAATGCCTAATATGACTTCAACAATGCTAACTACATATACTCATGCAATCAACATTTTGCTTCATAGTTTATTCACCTCTTCCTCCATTCTTTATATACCCTCATGAACTACTAGACTTATGCATACCATCTGCTTCTAATTTTCTTCTATAAAATTATTTTGCATCAATTTTTAGACTAAGATCTCTAAATAATCCTTAGGAGATAAAAATAGTCAATTAATTATATTAAAATAGAAACTATTTTCCAAGTTGTGAATAAAAAACACTAAAGCAAATATCAAAGCATTAGATTAAGAAGATTCTCCACAAGTGTCATTGGATGTCATACTTTCAAATGACAACTTGAGCAATTTTCACAAGCCACAGATCCTTGAGAGACATAAGTATATTGATAAATATATAGACATAGCATTTGCTTAAAGCTCAAGTGAAAACTGATCTTAGTCTTCTGGAATGCAAGGATGGTCAGATGGAAGATTCAGACATAAAATGTTCATCAGTGTTGCAGGTGAAAATTATCCCCAGGATGCAACGAAATATCTTAGGAAACTTAGGGGATGGAAATCAAGATGGTGCCAACTCAATCAGACAGGAAATGCTCTTGCTGTTGGAGAGTCAAATGATGTCAAAATTTATAAAGCTGACCTCACTTGCTACTAAATTTCAGAATCCCTCCTTTTTGTGGGAGTTAACAGGACACTACTTATTACTTGATTATAGTGAACTTTGTTTCTCCAGTGTCATAATAGGGAAGAGAGACCTAATTTCACAACACTACTCACATTCTCACCTCCACTCAACCAACACTCTCAGTTTTGAACATGAGTAATCTTTAACATTTTTCTCACTTTTTTCTGTTTTGCCTTCTGTCTAACTTGTAAAATTCATGGGTGTTTTAAAGTATTTTATGTACAATTATGATATTGTGAGTGAAACAACCAGTAAAAAACCTCTAACATAATTGTCAATATATAATTTGTGAAGTAGGCAATGGTGTCCACCTCATAGAGTTGCAGTGAGGATTGTACAGTTTATTCAAATTAAAATGTTTAGATTACCCTTTACCTAATATCCAAGTAAAAATTTTTAATATTAGCATTTCTTGTTCTTACACAAGTAAAATAACCTGTATAAAGACTAAAACATTAAAGCTTTATTTTTTAGACTCAATAAAAATAATTTTATAGACATTCCAATATGTCATGGGCTCTTTAAAAGACAGTGGACACTTAGAGTCTATAATACTGAGTGATCTGTCACAGAAACAAAGAACTGAATATTACATGTTCTCACTCACAAGTGGACCTTGAACAATTATTATAATGCTATAAGAAAAGGATTGGCAGTAGTGGGAAGCTGCCGGGAGTGTGGGGCGTTGGTAGTAGTAGGAAACTGCCAGGGGATGGGGGGTACACCTCATCAACAAGGGTGCCTGCATAATGAACATCTGTATACCTAACCCTGAATCGTACCCCACATCTTAAAATAGATGATTTAAAAAATAATAAAAATTAAAAAAATAAGATAGTAGGAAGAGACCAACTGATAGAATGAGGAACCATTTCTGCTCAACTCAGAAGTTTGTTCTTATGAAATAATGGACAGTTTTCTCTTATAAGTTTGGTTCCCACATTAAGCTCTAGGATCAGATTGTGATGTACATTAAAGTATTATTCTTTGTCGCTAGTGACTCAGATTTTCTCAGGGAAAGAAACATTAACTAGATTTTTCTCAATTCATACATCATAAAAATATATTATGAACTTCCTTCAGATGTGAATATGGTCTTAGATTCAGTCTCAAAATTTTTATCAAGTTAAATTTTTATAAGGATCTTAATTGTCAAGTACTTACATATTCCTGTCAAGATAACATGACAGTAACATATTAAAACTTTTAAGGCTTTTGCCTTTCCAGATTTTAAATGCATCTTATATTATCTTGATTATATTAGTTTCCTACTGCTGCCACAACAAATTGTCAAAAATTTAGCAGCTTGAAACAATACAAATTTCTCATATACAGTTCTGTAGATCAAAATAATAATACCCACTGGGGCAATATTAAGATGGTAGCAATGCTGAGTTGTTTTTTCTGGAGGCTCTAGGAGAGAATCTGATTCCTTTCTCATTCAGGTTGTTGGCAGACTTAAGTTCCCCATTTTCTTTCTGGCTGTCAACTGAGAGCCATATCTTGCTTTTAGAGACCTCCAGAGGCCTTGGTTGGTGGCCCTTTCCTCTATCTTCAAAGCTACCAACAGCTAATTGAGGATCAAATATTGCCTGGCTCTAAATTCATCTCATCTCACTTAGTGATGCATCTGTCTCTTTTATTCTTAAGGGCACACATGACTGCATTATTCCTTCCCAAATAATCTAAGGAAATCTACCTATTTTAAGTCTGTAAGCTTAATTGCCTCTGCATACATACAAACACACACACAGAAAGAGAGGGGGGGTGAGAGAGAGGCTTATGGGAGTATGGCATAATCACAAGTTTCATTTAATACAGCATGAAAGTCTTTGGAGGCCCATATTCTGTCTACTACACTGATTAAATATTTCACAGATTCTGTAGACAGAATTTGTTGTCTAAATACTATACAGACAATTTCACTCATAAAAGCTAAGCAAAACATTGTACCTGAATCCAAGCAAAGTTATTTGTGGGTTGTGTCAAGTTTTAAATTTATATTTAGAACTCTGAGTTTGTCAGTATTCTAAAATCATTTAAGCTATGTGCAGAATGCTTCATTACCAAAAAGCTTTGTGTGCAATGCAATCAGAGACAAGCCTGATAAATCCATCTAGTAGTATTTCAGAGATGGTTTATATCAAAGAAACATTGTTTATCAAGTGTTCTTACTGTTTTTTTTTTTTTTTAGAAAGCGGGATTTATTGAGGACAGAAAAGTTCCCACAGTGGAAGGGGACTCAAAGGGGTTGCCCCTCATTGCTTTTAAAGTACGATCCTAAGTGCCTTAAATTTAATTCTCACTGTCATCTTAGAGGTAAGTTCTACTACTTTTAATACCATTCAAAAAATTAGAAAACTGAAGGTCAGAAAATTTAGACAATAATGAGTGGAGCTGGGATTTAAAAACAGAGAGACTACCTCTGAATAAATTCTAATAAAACTTTCTGTGATGATATGAATATTCATATCAGCACTGTCCAATAAGTAACTATTATACTATATGGCAATTGAACATTGAAACATGGCTAATATGCCTAAGGAACTAAAAGCACTTTTCTATTCCTGAGTTCTTCCTTCATAAACATGTGCACTTCAGCTCAGAGTATGTGTTGCATTTCTGACTTTAGAAATAGAAAAATTCTAGCATTAAATGGCATTAATTCTAGCAATTTGTCTCTTATAATGACTTATGGAAACAAAATTGAAAAGAAATCTTGACAGATCATTTTACCTTGTCTTCCGTTTCTGTTTAGGTGAGAGAAATCACCTGTGGTTAATATGCACAGTGTTTGGTAACGCAACACGATGATGTAAATTAGCATTGTTTTTCTCCTAAAAATGTGAAGTGTCTTTCTTTGGCTTTATTATAGAAAATTTCAAACATATCAAATTGTACATTGAAACACTATGTCCCCATGATTCAAATATTCATATTTTTTAAAATATCAGTATATAGCTACTCTCAAGACTTTGTTACTCCTACTCATGAAATGAAACTACAGTGTGTTTCTATTGGCCGATAATTCCTTTTATTATCTGTGTTTTATTCTACCAACGGCATATCCAGATTTATTTATTTCATCTAACTTTTGATTTTGTGGTCTAAGCTAACTTTATATTAATAAAAAAATTCCACAGTGTTCTGAAGTAAAATATAAAAAAAGAAGACAAATTAAAAAACAATGTTTCGACTGGGCTCGGTGTCTCACCCTATAATTCCAGCACTTTGGGAGGCTGAAGCGAGTGGATTGCCTGAGCCTGTGGGTTCGAGACCCACCTGGGCAACTTAGTGAGACCTCTTCTCTACAATAAATCAAAAATTAGCCGGGCGTGGTGGCACGCTCCTGTAGTTCTGACTACTTGGAAGGCTGAGGCTGAAGGATCGCCAGAGCCCAGCAGTTGGAGGCTGCAGTGGCCGGGAGCATGCCACTGCACTCCAATCTGGGCAACGGACTAAGACTCCAAAAATAAATAAATAAATAAATGAATATTAAATAAATAAATAAATAAAATAACAAACAATGTTTTCTTGTCCCCTCTCTATTTTTACTTCTTCTTTTGGTAACAACTTTTATATGGCAAGACTTATCTTTTCATTAGAGTACAAATATGTGTGTGCATGAGGTATATATATATATATATATATATATATATATATATATGTGTGTGTC